TTCAAAATAGATCTTGTGGGATTTTCTGCCTTGATATTCTGGGGTATAAGGCTGTGTGGAAGGGCCCTTAGAATTGTTTTAGAGGATTGACTAAAAGGTGAACTAGTGTGATATACTGGTTTGAGTTCTGCACCACTCTCTGAACAGGGTTCAGATCCTTGATTTGCCATGGAAACTCACTGGCTAACATTGGGCAAATCACACACACTAAGCCCCAGAAAGCTTTGTGATAAGTTTGTATTAGTAAGTTGGGCACCAATTAAGACACACAGTGACAAAATAAATTATACAGAGGTCTGCCATTAGTTTGTTTTCTGGGTAAGAAGGAAGTAAGGAAGCCACATTTCAAAAAAATTAAAAAATTACTTTATTGGTGTAAGGACGAGTGGCTTTAGAAACTTTCAAACATTCTATTTCCAGGATATTTTCATGTGGATTTTTCAGGTTTGATGCCATTTTGTCACCTATTCTAAGGTTTCTTTTTCCAAAAGGTACTGGAAAGTAATAAAAAAGGAACAAAGTGTGCACTGGATTATGAATCCCTACTTGCCCACTGGGTAACTTTGGCAAGTCATCCATTCTTAACCTGAGAAAATCCCATGATAGGTTCACCTTAGAGTCATCATAAATTGGAAAAAAAAAAACGAAAGACACACAACAACAACAAACACAGGTAAAGGTAAAGTTTTCCCCTGACATTAAGTCCAGTCGTGTCCGACTCTGGGGTGTGGTGCTCATCTCCATTTCTAAGCCAAAGAGCCGGCATTGTCCGTAGACACCTCAAAGGTCATGTGGCCAGCATGACTGCATGGAGCGCAATTATCTTCCTGCTGGAGCGGTACCTATTGATCTACTCACATATCTACTCACATTTTATGTTTTCGAACTGCTAGGTTGGCAGAAGCTGGGGCTAGCAGTGGGAGCTCATCTTGCACTCCAGATTGGAACCACCAAACAGCAGAAGCTCACGCCGCTCCCCAGATTCGAACCTGTGACCTTTCGATCAACAAGTTTAGCAACTCAGTGGTTTAACCCGCTGCGCCACCGGGCTTGTATTTGTGGGAGTTATAAGAGCAACGAGCAATCTTTAAAATAGGCTTAACACAAAATGGAACAGTTACCTTTTTAAAAAGTAACTTTCCAAGAAGTCTTTATTCTGTCAGGAGATACCAGAGATCAAATGTGTCTGCTTCTGAATCTTAGAAATCACTTCTATTGCTGATCAGCTCCCCACGCAGTAAAAATACACAGAACTTAATTTGGGGGGGGGGGGGGGTTGAGGCCAGAAGTCGATTCTCTCAGCCAGTTGTAGATGCTCCTCGTGCCTGAAAGGACACCAGGATCCAGGTTATTTACTGCACTCATTGTTCCCGGAGAACAGAGACTGCCTTCCAGGAGAACATCTGTCACTTGCAAACATGCTGAGGGCAAGCACTTGGCGTCTTGGTGTAAGCCACAGCTCTCTGGTTAGCTCTTAAAAGTCAGGCCGCTTTCATCTCCACTCCTTTTCGCAAAAGCATATGCTACTTGAATGAGCCGCAACTTTTTCTCAGACTCCAAATTAGCATTTCTACTTTATCTTGTTTATCGATCCCAGATGGAGGAGGCACAGTGGGCCTGAGAAAAAGGCTTTGGCTACAGCAGTCTGGGAATTGAGACTTGAGAGCAGAATTTTAAACAGTGAAAATGTCCCAGGTAACAATTTTATGTGTCGCGGGGGAGTCCCTTCTCCAAAGCAGGGTATCTTTTTTTAAAGGCAAAGTGGTGCCCCGATTTCTCCAGTTTCTCTCCAAGGTAATGCCACAAAAGTAACAAGGTTAAGGGCTGTTTTCTGCTGGAAGTTCATTTATTTTTCTTTTCTTTTCTTTTTCTTTTCTTTTCTTTCTTTCTTTCTTATTTATTTATTGCTGTGATTGGACATTTACCCACAATATTAAGGTGAATGGGGTTGGAAATACAATAATATTTGCAACTTTTTAAAAAAGAGAGGCATACTGGATCCCAGGAATTTTTGATGAGAAGAATCATAGATGAGTCAGAATTGTGGAAAAGCAACGGGAAAAAATAGCCCCTGAAGCCCCTTCTTCACTGTAAAATCCAGATTATCTGGTTTGAACTGGATTATATGGCAATGCAGACTCATACAATCCAGTTCAAAGCAGATAATGTGGATTATCTGCTTTGATAATCTAGATTATGTGACAGTGAAGAAGGGTCCTGAGTCCTAGCTGAGGGCTGATTCATACTAAGGCACACACAGTGAGAGTCTCTATTCATAAAACTGTTTTAAAAAAAGTTTTAAGAACAGTTACTACACAAATGCAAAAAGCAATGTAAAAAGGAAACAGAAAGTGTACAAAGCAACCCTTTTATAATCAAACACCTGCCAAAAGAACAAAAGCCAGGATCTCATTGGAGCATTTAGCTAGTCTTTCATATTATGCCAGTGATCAATTTCAAATACATGCAAAGCTGTGTAAGTCTGAATCTGTATACAAAGCGATCTTGTAAAATCTTTATGCTACCTGTGTCTTCAAAGGTGCTATAAAATACTTCTGTTATGCAAGGAGGTTTGACCTCCTTGTGTAGCAAGTCTGTGCACCAACCATGATGGAAAGAAAATATTGCTGGCTCCTTGGCCATGCATTCTTTCCTGAAAACTTGTTCTGAAGAGCAGGCAGAGGCTCACGGAGCTAAGGAACGACGGAAGATCTGGCTTGGTGATTGTTCAAGCCAGTATTCCCATAGCCGGTTGCTTCTCTGAATATATTCCCCTAGAAGTGAGACATTTATGATACTGAGCCACCAAACTACCACCCTTCTCCCATTGCCACTGCAATTTCTTTGACTTGGGGTATATGTCAAGTGGAAGAATTCCAGAGATAAGGTAATACAATGGAGCAATCAACACCCTACCAGACAAATTTATTGTATATAGAATAGAGCGGGCATGGACAAACTTCGGTCCCTCCAGGTGTTTTGGACTTCAACTCCCACAATTTCTAACAGCTGGTAAACTGGGCTGGGATTTCTGGGAGTTGAAATCCTAAACACCTGGAGGACTGAAGTTTGCCCATGCCTGATTTAAAGATTCTAGATCAGTAGTTCTCAGCCTGGGGTCCCCTGTGACCTTTCGATCAACAAGTTTAGCAACTCAGTGGTTTAACCCGCTGCGCCATCGGGCTTGTATTTGTGGGAGTTATAAGAGCAACGAGCAATCTTTAAAATAGGCTTAACACAAAATGTTTTTGGCCTACAACTCCCAGAAATCCCAACCAGTTTACCAGTTGTCAGGATTTCTAGGAGTTGAAGGCCAAAAACATCTGGGGACCCCAAGTTGAGAACCACTGTTCTAGATGTTTAGTCCAAAAACTGACCCCAAACTTATCCATAAGTCAGTTTAATTACTGGACTGTAACTCTTACCAATAATAATAATAACCATCATCATCATCATCATCATCATCATCATCATCATCATCATCTTTCTTTATATCCCGCCTTTCTCCCTATGGGGACTCAAGTCAGCTAACATCTATCCACACTAAACAGTTTAAAAAGAGCAATACAAAAGTTAAAACAATTAAATAATAATTATGTGGTAAAAAAGAATTAAAATACAGCAAATGCATTATAATGTCCTTTAAAACTCATATCATCCCCAGTCCTACCCACCCTCCCCAGAGCCTCCACTTCCCTTCCCCAAAAGCCTGTTGGCAGAGGAAGGTCTTGACTTGCTTGCGGAAGGTCAGCAGGGATGGGCTATTCTGGCTTCTCTTGGGAGGAAGTTCCACAGTCTGGGAGCAGCCACTGAAAAGGCCCTCTCCTGTGTTCCCACCACGTACTTGAATGGGTGGACCCATCCTTTCTCAAAGTAGAAAAATGAAAAGTGAGAGCTTAATCAATCCCAGAAGACCCTAAAATAAGCAGACCCTGTAGTCTCTCGGTTGGTCTGTCCACTTCTGGCCTATTTGAATGTCTGGGGATGCCATTAGTGGAAGTGGCAGTAGCCAGGGTGGCTCCCCCCACCCCCACCCCCATAGCAATACTTTCCCCATTCTATGGAATGACCCTCAACTTATCCACTGGTCACATCAAAATCCATCATTTTGGCCTCAAAACTTCTCCTCAATTTATACATGTGGTTGACTTTTATACATGAATATATACAATGCTTACTGAAGGATAACCAGGCAAGGTCCTAAGTCAGAAGAAACATAAGGAGCAGACCTATGTTAGCCACCCCTTCTTATTGCCTCAGCCAGTTTTCCTTTACTGGTTTAGTCAGTTCAGCTGTATCTTTCCTTGCTCTCCGAGGCCCCTTCTACACTACTATATATTACAGATTATCAAAGCAGATAATCCACAGTATCTGCTTTGAACTGGTTGAGTCTACATTGCCATACAATCCAGTTCAAAGCAGATAATCTGGATTTTATATGGCAGTGTAGAAGGGGCCTGAGACTTTAAGGAGGCCTATGCTAAGTACACACCCACATTGCCTTATTCACTTTCTCTCTATTGGTTCATCTGTCTTTCCTTGCCCCTGAGACCCCAATTTGCACTTTGGAGCCCCCTCCCCTCATTAAGGGTAGCATCCTACAGTCACTTAGAACGATTGCATCCTGCAACCACTTACTTACTGAAGGTGTCTTCAGCCACTATCCTGTTGCCAGCTCTTCCACAAAGGCACACTTGACAGGTCCACTTATGCCAACTCTTTGTTAAAGTACCTAATGTAATGTTATCCTTCTAAACATCAGCTAAAAACATTTTTTTCAGAATACCCAGTTCTGAGTTTAAGATGGCATATAATGTTCTTCTCCCTATGGATGCTATGACTTCTGTGACAGACATGTTAGTCACATAACTTAATTTAAATCTTCCCAGTCTCAGTAGGAATCAATGTCAACTAAGTTAGTCTGGATCCACTGGTTATGCATTATAGAGGCATATATGACAGGGGAAAAAATTCTTCTTCAAATCTGTGCAAGACTGATACCTGTTCAAACATATATTTTTTATTTTAGTTACTTATTTACATAGTTTACACACATTTCAAAATAATGCCACTGTTACCACAATACATCATCCAAAACACCTCCCTCCATCATGTCTTCATTTTAAAAAATTATACACAAGTTTCATATTTATCGTTTTTATGGATGATCTGTGAAGTTCTATAAGTCTGTTTGAATGGAGGTATTTACCACAATATTCTAAGAAATTGTGCTTTAAAATAAAAAGTTTCCAAGTGAAACAACCTGAGCAAATAAAATGTATCACACAAGTTACAGAATCCTTAAATGTGCTGCACTGTTAGCCACATGGCGGGGTTTCCCCTTTCCTGCTCCAAAAGAAAAATCAAGGTCCAGTGATGACGTTTTCGAAATTCTGCCAGATTCACCGCTGCTTCTTTTTCTTAGTTTGTTCTTCAGCATCTAGTTTGCGTTTCTTAAGTGAAGGTGTTTCCTCCGTTTCCTCATCTTCAAACAAAGACAATATTTGTAAATACAAAACCACGTGTATCCTCAAGATTTTATGCAAGACCAAAAAAAATGGCTTCAACTGATTAAAAGGCTAAACATAAAGTCTGGCTTGGCATTTAAAAAACCTCAAGACTGTCGATCACAAGCTGAACATGGACCAGGAGTGGGATGGAGATGCAACAAAGAGAATGCAGTGCTTGATTATGTTATTATACATATCATGTTCAAATCATAAGCAGGAATTGTTTTATGTGTTGTCAAAGGCTTTCATGGCCAGAATCACTGGGTTGCTGTGAGTTTTCCTGGCTATATGGTCATGTTCCAGAAGCATACTCTTCTGACATTTTGCCCATATCTATGGCGAGCATAGGTGTGTTGGAAACTAGGCAAATGGGGTTTATATATCCGTAGAATGTCCAGTATGGAAGAAAGAACTCTTGTCTGCTTGAGGCAAGTGTTATCAAGATGGACAATTGCAACATTAGCACTTGCCTCAAGCAGACAAGAGTTCTTTCTCCCACCCTGGACATTTCACAGATATCTAAACCTCTGAGGATGCCTGCCATAGATGTGGGCGAAACATCAGGAGAGAATGCTTCTGGAACATGGCCTTATGGCCCGGAAAACTCGCAGCAACCCAGGAATTGTTTTATTTTCCTTTGTTCCAATCCTACCTTATCATCATCTTCATCCTCATTATAATTTATATCCCACCTTTCTTCCTGTAGGGACTCAGGGTGGCTTACAACCATGCAACTTAATAACATTTTTAAACAAATCAAATGAATTTTTAAAGAGTTTTATGTCCCATTCTTGATATTCTAGAGTTTTATGTCCTTTTCTGTACATTACACTTTGAGAAATACAGACAAATGAGAACTTCTTCAGATGTAATGGACAGGGACCCTTGAAGCTGTTCCAATTTGTCTATAATACTGATTAGAGAAGTCTTTTTTTCTATAAGACATTGAGGTGGTGGTTTGATGACAGCCTTTTGTTCTGTGAACAAAACAAAATTAAAAATCAATGCTTCCTAAAGAAGGCAATTACCTTTATTTGTTTGCTTATATGGAATCTAAGATGTTAAACATTGCATGATAAGGTGCGCCCAAAATTTGGGCCCAACATTCAAATGAATGGATGGGAAACAGTTGAAACTATCTTAAGAATGTTTCAAACCAGTGCTACAGATGTCAAGATAAGGAAGACTCCTTTTCCCATATCTTATTGGTTGAAGATTGACAAGGGGATTCTGGACTTGACAGCCTGCAAAAGCTATGCCAACTATTTGGAGTTTAGCTCTTAATTAATAAAATATTTTATCTTTGATAGAAAAGCCAGCTCCATTTCAATCTACAAATGAAATGTCCCTTCAATTTTGGGAGGGTTGGAAGTGCAGAAAAAAGACACAATTAAAAAAATACTTTAAAAACCCCAAAGAGAATACCTCTCTTGGTAGATCAAAGCCTCCAGGGTGACTCTATGGTAAACTTTTGATTAAAGCTGAACATAGAGAAGCCATGAAGAACCTAAATTCCCAGAGAGGAACATGATAATCAAGCCCATGATCCATAAAAGTTAAGCCGACATATGTAGACGGCCAACAGTATTCTTGCAGACAAATTAAAATGCCAGTGATCTTTTTCTTTAAATTTTTTATTTAGGAAGTACTGAGATGATATGCTTTCATCATCTGCATATAATTTTATTTATTTATTTATTTCATGCATTTCTACCCCGCCCTTTTTCCCCCAAAGGGGGACTCAGGGCAGCCTCACACACACATCATAGTTTTTCCTTCATACTAACTTCTCTATTAAAATTTCCTAGGAGCTTTATGGGGAAAAATAACTTTTACATGGAGTTGAATTTATCAGAATTATCTAGCAGTCGCAATAATAAAATGTACATATTGTAAGGGCATTACAGAATTGCTGCCAGATAAAAAATGTCGTCTCGTAAAAGAGGAATTGGAACACATTTACAAAAACAAGTAATCATAGATTTACTACTGTGCCCCTATCCCTAGTGAATGTGAAAGGTTGACTGTAATTATACTGGAAGCCAAACCAAATTATTACTGTTCTTTTTTATAGGTGGCCCTACCTGATTTGACTTGTTCCTCCTCTTCATCTTCTGGTAAGAAGTTGACCTTGTTTGCATTTCTGGGAGCATCGTCACCATTATCTTCGTATATATTGGACCATTTGATTGCCATATCCAGCTCCGGAGGGGGAGGCGGCTTGGTTTCTTTGACGCTGTAACTCTCAGGGGGAGGCACGGCATTGGTAGTCCAGGCCTTGAACTCCTTAGGAGGCTGTGGAGGTAAAAGGATCAGGTTAAAACATGGTATCACCAAGGACGAAATGATGGAAACACAGCTTATCTTTTAAGAACAAAGCAGATGCAAAAATCATGGATATAACTTGCCCACATATTTGAAAAAATATTGAATTCATTTTATATTGCAGAAAAGACGCATGGCCTTGTTTGATCTGAGAAAGGTCATTAGTGACCTCTCGAGAAGACCAGAAACCTCTTATGGACTTCTTGAGGGGATAAAAGAAAATAACTTGGCAACTTTAGCTTTTAAATGGTTCGGGCCTCGCCTATCTTTGCGATCACATCTCCCTCTATGTACCAGCATGAACTTTAAGATCTTCCGGGGAGGCCCTCCTTTCACTCCCACCACCGTCACAAGCACGGTTGGTGGGAACGAGAGAGAGGGCCTTCTCCGTGGTGGCCCCCTGCCTCTGGAATGCGCTTCCTAGAGAAATAAGACAAGCTCCATCCCTCCCCTCCTTTCGTAAGAGCCTGAAGACCTGGTGGTTTAAACAAGCCTTTGAGCCCCAGATACTGTTGAATATGGCCATACCTTTTTCTACCAATTACCCAGGTTACTTCCTCCTATTAGGCCCCAAAATGAACAGCCAGACTCTACCTAATTTCCTGGGCCCTCTACAAATTGCACTAGCCTCGGCCCGGCCTTTTAAATTGCCTTGAACAGGCAGGATTGTTTTATAAAGTCCACACTGAACTGGATGATATGGCAGTGTGGACTCAGATAATAAACCACTTCAAATCATTGATCTGCCTTGATATCCTGGGTTATATGGCTGTATGGAAGGGCCCTGGATGGAATCCGATTCAAAAAGAAAAACACCAGGGCTTTATCAGGGCTTCATCACAATATGGGCCCTCCCACACAGCCACATCATCCACAATATCTGCTTTGAACTGGAATATCTGAGTCCACACTGCCATATATTCCAGTTCAATGCAAGTAATGTGGGATTTTATTCAGCTGTGGGGAAATGGCCTAAAAGGTGCTCAGGACCCTTCCACACAGCCACAAGGCAAAAAAATCCCACAATATCTGTTTTGAACTGGATTATCTGAGTCCATAACCAGATATGGGATTTTCTGCTTTGATATTCTGGGATATAGGGCTGTGTGGAAGGGCCCCCAGAATATCCCGCAATATGTGCTTTGAACGGGGTTATCTGAGTCCACACTGCCATATATTCCAGTTCAAAGCAGGTAATGTGGGGTTTTATTCAGCTGTGCGGAAGYGGCCTCAGACTAGCGTTTGAAAGCGGGCTCCGCGCAGYATTCTGGGAAATGTAGTTGAGGGCGGGGCCCTTGGCCTCCTCAGCGAGAGGGGTTCTGGCGTTCCCAAACTCCATTTCCCAGAAGTCTGCGGGAGGCTGCCGGCTTCCTCGCGCTCCGGGGGGGGGGGGCGAGCGGGCGCGCGCCTGGCCCTGCAGCCAATGCCTGACCTCCTCGGGGGCCCTCAGGACGCGGCTCTCCCAGTCGATCTCCTTGTGGAGCGGGTTGTAGAGGAAGGCCGGCCGGTGGACGCGGCGGAAGAGCTCCTCGGGGCCCGGCAGGCGCGCCCCTTCTCCCTCGGGGCCTTTCCGCAGCGGCGCCGGCGCCTCGGAGGCCGAGCCGGGCCTCCCCTCGCCCTCGGAGTCCGAGCCCCCGCRCGAGCTCTCCCCGCCGCCGTAGGCCGCGAAGAAGCCCAGCGGGTCCTTCCCCTCCGCCATGGCAGAAAAGGGGGCGGGGGGGMGSGGCTGGTGCGCTGGGACACGCGTCCGCCGAAACAGAGGCTGCGGGAAGAAAGGTTCCGGCTCTGAGCTGCACAAGGGCTCTCTCTCGTTCTCGCTCTCCAATGAATAGATTTTGGTAGCATGTGAACTGCCAGGGCTCAATGCTATGGGATCCTGGGAGTTGCCGATTTATCCGCCTTCTCTGTTAAAGGGTGCTGGCGCCTCACCAAACTACAGCTCCCAGGGTTCCCTAGCATTTGGCCAGTGCTAGGGCAGTGGTTCTTAACCTGTGGGTCCCCAGGTGTTCTGGCCTATAGCTCCCAGAAATCCCAACCTATTTATTTATTTGCGTTATTTATATCCCACCTTTCTCTACCCCGAGGAGGGCTCAAGACTTACAATCACACTTGCATTTATTTATTTATTTACATTATTTTTATCCCAGCCCGAAGGCGACTTAGGACGGTGTACAGACCGGCAACAATTAGATGCCGTATATATAAACATACATATGTCGGTTAAAACAATTAAATTACATCCTAATACATATAAAAACCATACAAACTATAAAAAGCTATAAAAGTCTATTAAAAATAGTGTTTTCCAATCCAATTCCTCATCCGTTTACATCGTCTTTAGCTGTTCTGTTTTCGTATTCCAGTTATGTTTATTTGATCACACTGAATTTTCAAACGCCTGCGCAAAGCGCCGTGTTTTCACTCTTTTCCGAAAAGTCAGGAGGGAGGGAGCCAATCTACTATCCTGGCCAGGGATTTCCACAGCCAAGGGGCCACCACTGAGAAGGCCCTGTCCCTCGTCCCTGCCAGACGTGCCTGTGAGGCAGGAAGGATCAAGAGCAGGGCCTCCCCGGACGATCTTAAATGTCTAGAAGGTTCATAGGAAGAGATGTGTTCAGATAGATAAGGTGCCTTAAAACATACCACATCAGTTAAAACATAAGTTAAACATTAAAACATAATAAGCATAATTTATTTATTTTTATTTTGTATCAAAAGCATTGCATAAATTAGTATAAAACTGATAAAAATAGAAGAAGCGCAGGCAGCTAAATATCTTTTGACAAAAAACGGGCAACGGCATTGTCTGTAGCCTCCAACAATTCTTCCTCTGTACATGAGCCAGGGCACAGTGGACAAGCATACAGATGGGGAATTGTCTGTTCTGCTCCACAGTAACACAAGGTGCGGGATTCTTTTAGGTAGTGCCATTTTGCCAGGCTGTCTTTTGTTCTGCCCACTCCACTTCTGAGTCTGTTTAGGGACTTCCAAGTTGCCCATTCTTGGTTTGCCCCTGGAGGAAGACCCTCGCGGAGGACCATCCAGTTGGGATTTCCTTGTTTAGCTGCCCAGAGGAAGACCCTTGTTGTTGCTGGGGGTATTACTATTATTAATAAGCATAATAAAAGTACATTTCAATGAATGTCACACAACAAGGCACATGAAGGCACACAACAACAATTCTGATTAACTTAACACTCATTAGGCAAAAGTAGGCCCACATTCCCATTGAAATACTGCTACGTTAATGTTGGTTAAAATTGTTCTTTACGTTAAATAGTGTATTATTATTTCTTGCTCTTTTTTGCACACCAAATAAGATATGTGCAGTGTGCATAGGAATTTGTCTGTTTTTTTCAAACCATAATCTCCCCCGCCCAACAGTCTGAGGGATCATGAACTGGCCCTCGGTTTTTAAAAGTTTGAGAACTGGTTTAAGGTTTGCCTGTGTGCTGAAATTATTAAAATAATATCACTTTTCCAACTGGGAAACTGCATCTCGCAGCTTTTCAGCAGGCTACAAGACAATCATTTTACTGATATCCCAAGCAATGATCATAAAATATAATGAAGTAACAAGTGTTCAGAAAGGAATACCATACTAGTACTACTGTCTTAAACTGGATTACACCCAATGTTTAAGAATAAAATACCTGCAGCACTGAATTAGAAGATAGTGCCAAGCAACTGAATTACTAGAAACAAAAAATGTGACTGCCTTCCTATTCACTTTCACTTCCTCAATCACTTTCCTTTTAGCACACAACTCTGAAGGAGCATTATTTGATTGTTTAATTAATATTCTTATACTGAAAAATGTTGAACATGCAAAGGATTTCTAGAATTACTCAGGCATTCTTACAAGAAAGCTCACTTGTGATTGATTCTATTTCACAGACAGAAAGTGGTTACCATCCTGAATGTAGTCACTGTTAAGTAATTGTGTATGTATGTCTTCAAGTCACATGGCAACTTATGGATTTCATAGGATTTTTGTTAGGCAAAGAAGACTCAGAGATGGTTTTGCCAGCTCCTTCCTCTGAAATATAGCCTACAGTACCTTGTATTTGTTAGTGATCTCCCACCCAACTACTAATTAGAGCTGGCCCTGTTTAGCTTTCAAGATCAGATGGAGATCCTGGTGGTGCAGTGGATTAAAATGCTGAGCTTGTTGACCGAAAGGTCATAGGTTCAAATCTAGGGAGCGGCATGAAATGGAGATGAGCACCAACCCCCAGAGTCGGACATCACTGGATTTAATGTCAGGGGAAAACCTTTACTTTTACCTTAGGCATATTGAGACTCTACTAATAGTGATTTATGGAGTGTTCTTGATATGTATTATTTCACTCATTTATTTTGCAAATCTGTATTGGTTGATCTATATGGACACTGTACAGACCATATTTGGGGTTTTTTTTGGGGGGGTGGGTGGTATTCTGCCTTTTATACCATAAGAGGAAGTTTCATTATTAATTTGGTTTTATTAAATTTTGCTATAGTTGTTCTTTGGTATACATACATATCAGGCTATTTTTTTTAAAAAATGCACATTTTCTGTATTTTATTTCTATATATTATATAAATATAATAAAGGTACAATTAGAATTGTTTTTGTTGATTGCTCCATATACCTTGCTGCAACTTTCTGTTTGAAAACTAAAATTCCAGCTCTGGAATAGTCTGTTCCAGCTATATTTTGCTTGCACATTCCATACTAAATAGGATGGAGGCTGAGGAATTTCTCTGGTCCAAAATGGATGTTTGCATCTGTCTTGGATTTGGCTTAATAATAACATATTGTGTTTATATTTCACCCTATCTCTCCGAGGGGACTCAGGGCAGATCACAGTACATATATATACTAAACATTCAATGCCATTATACAATTAACAAAGACAGACAGACTTTACATAAACAGAAGTAAAGGCTTCCCATCTTTTCCATCCCAGGCATCTGGAGGCTGTGCTTGACTCTGGGCACAGGAGGGTGCTGTTGCTCCATCTTATACCCCGAGGAGTTTTATTGTCTTTAGACGCTCTCTCGATCAAATTGCCGGCATGTCTGCATGGGTGCCTTTTATTACCTCCCCGCCAAAGCAGTACCTATTTATCTACTCACATTTCTGTTTTCTATCTGCTAGGTGAGCAGAAGCTGGGCTGACAGTTGGGAGCTCACCCCACCCCGGACTTGAACTGTAGATCTTTCAATCAGCAAGATTTTCTGCAGCTGGCGGTGTAACCTGCTATGCTAAAGCCCAGCCTCTGTTGTAAATTTTGTGCATGTTAATTCTGAAGCAGGATCCCAAACTGTATCTGTATTGCATGCAGCTTCAATTGTTTACTTCTTATCTGTAGAGCAGCTTTGTGTCTAGAATTACAGAGTAGACCCCAAGGTCTATCCCCCAGCCACCAAATCTTCTGCACACAATTAAACCCTTGTTTTTCCAACAAGCCTTTAGATTCTCTAATAATACATATGAGGACCTGTAGATTCTTTATCTGCACTTTACAATTCTGAGATCGAATACTGCTGTTTTATCCACAGCAATTGCTGTATTTTATTATTTTTACCAGTGGGTACTGTGAATTTATGATGTTGACTATTTATTGTCTATGTTTTGTTTTGCACTTGTTGTATTTTGCATGTCACACCTTGAGTGTTCTTTGACCACCCGAGTCCCTCTGGGAGATGGTGGTGGGATAGAAATGAATGTTTTATTATTATTATTATTATTAATATCATAATCATAATCATCACCATCATCCAGTCCACCCCCGCTTCTACTATACAGGGATACACAAATGAAAAACTATCTGGGGAGAGCCTGGTTACTCCTTTCATGTTATTTGCATGAAAAGCAAATTTTTATATACAGTAGAGTCTCGCTTATCCAACCTTCACTCATCCAACATTTCTCTATTATCCAACGCAGTCTGCCTCCTGCCCAGATCCACAGCTGTGTCAAAACATTGTGATGTTTTGGTGCTAAATTTGTAAATACAGTAATTACTATATGTTACCATGTAATGAATAGCTTTTTCTGTTGATTTGTTTTAAAACATAATGTTTTGGTGCTTAATTTGTAAAATCATAACATAATCTTATGTTTAATAGGCTTTTCCTTAATCTCTCATTATCCAACATTTTTGTTTATACAACGTTCTGCTGGCCCATATATGTTGGATAAGCAAGTCTCTACTGTAATATGCAAGTGCAGTCTAGATTTTGATAAACTGGAATATGATAAGGACTGATAGCAGTGGAGGGCAGGAGTACCAAGAAAAAAGTGGAATTATTGTGTTTCTAACCCAAGAAAGGCTAGGTATTTTTACAAGTAGTACAATAAACTGGTTTGTTGTTGTTGTTGTTCATTCGTTCAGTCGTCTCCGACTCTTCGTGACCTCATGGACCAGCCCACGCCAGAGCTCCCTGTCGGCCGTTACCACCCCCAGCTCCCTCAAGGTCAGTCCAGTCACTTCAAGGATGCCATCCATCCATCTGGTTAGCCTTTATTAATAATAAACTGGTTAGCCTTTATTAAATACTGAAACACTTTGTTCCTTCATCAGCAGACTCACATGTTCATTATCAAAGACCACTGCTGAGAAGATAAAATGAGCACAGCATGAGCTCTTTAGAGGAATGATGGCCTAATAGAGAGCACCAATTAATTAGTAACTAAGATGGGATGCTACTTAATAAACATAGAAATTGTATCGCCATAAATCCTTGCTAAAGTGGCTACTCAGAACTTCTAAGAATGAGATTTCACAACGCCCCTTGACTCAACTTATCTTACTTCATCTCTGCTGCAAGTTGTTTCTTGTTACTGGTAAATGTTGCAATTCCACCATTCACGTTACCATTTTATCCAACTACTACTTCTGCTCTTTCATACAGCTTTTTTATCATCCCTCTCAAAGCCTTTCATTTCATACAGTAGGATTTGTAACCACCAGTTTATACTGTAGCAGAAATGCTATTCAAGTAGTTACATCTAGAATGTTCACACAGGAAACTTTGGGCCACTAGGTCAAGCATATGGTAAGAGAAAAATCCCTGATATATTGTTATGACTTGCTTAATGACTTCCTTAGGAAGTCATTGAGCATTTCAGGAAAAAATAACCACCTTCTGAAGACTCATGATTTCACAGTTGTGTAAGTCTAAGTTTTGTTTATAATTTACCAACATGTACAGTGGGTTATCACATGAAGAATAGCAGCAACATGAATTTATGAGTAAGGTAAGGTATGAAACAGGCACAGTGTCTCAAAAACTGAACAAAATCTACAACAAATTGAATTTAAGACAGTGTTCTAAAGTGTTCTAAGAAAGTGAATAACGTCATATGTATAATTTTCCCATTCTTATGTCAAATTGTTCTAAAATACTCAGCTGAGAATCAGCTGTACTGAACTCAAGTGTGATTTACTTCTGAGCATGTATAGCAAGCATGGGCAAACTTCAGCCCTCCAGGTGTTTTGGACTTCAACTCCCACAATTCCTAACAGCTGGTAGGCTGTTAGGAATTGTGGGAGTTGAAGTCCAAAACACCTGGAGGGCTGAAGTTTGCCCATGCCTGATGTATAATGAAAGCCAGCATGGTGTATTGGTTTGGGCATTGGACTATGGCCCCATCTACACGGACCATTTAATGCCATTTAGTTAGCTTCAAACTGGCAGCCAGGCAACAAACTCCCATGGAACTATGCAAAAGTAAGGCCTCAATGTACACCAGTGCTCTGTGGTTTGTGTAATCGTCATCTGGGCTTCAAACTGGATCTGCACAGCAAAACCACTTTCTTCAATACTGATTTGAAGCTACATTAAATGGTCAGTGTAGATGCGGCCTACGACTCTGAAGAACAAAGTTAAAATCCACACTCGGCCATGAAAACCCATTGAGCAACCTTGGGTGAGCTTCACATTCTCATGATAGGTTCACCTTAAGGTCATCATAAGATGGAAATGACTTAAAGATACTCGATACCAAACACGCATAGGATAGATCAGTTAGTGTAACGACACTTAGTAATTTAATTCACGTTTTAATCCAAAAGCTGGTTTAAAAAATTACAAAGACACAAACATCATATGTTTCTTGGTATCAACAATCTCAGAGATTATCTTGAAACAATCTTAATTTCAAATTACAAAAGGTCCACAAAGTGGACATGTAGTAACTATACCAAAAGATTTGTAAAGAAAAAGTAAAAACCAGAAGACTATTTTAAAAATGCCCCAATAATATTTTTAAATACTTCTGACATTTAAAAGTTTCCTATTTTGACAAAGTCTGATGAGTCCACATAAATCTATTTAAAAACAAAAACCAGACAATAAAAAATGAAGTTATGAAACAGGCAAATTCAGAAGACTTCACACATGCATTTTACAAAATAACTATCATTGCTTCCCGACATACATTTTCCATATCAACCTTTTTTTGTCATTTAGCTATGAGATTAGCAATTTGAGATAAACTTGTCCTCCTTGTGGCTACATGACAGAAAGTCTCTCCAACTTTGTTTTGAAAAGTGAAGACTTTTCGTTTTCCAAAGCTACTTAACTTTTAACTCCTTTAAAGTTTAAGTAAAACAAATAAGCAGAAGGCTGAATCTGATTCCAAGTAAGAACTTTACAAATGAAGAAATAAAGGATTTTTTAGTCAGATGATTACACACCAGTTCAAGGAGATACCTTATGAGAGATTACTAAGAAATATTGCTGCCCTTACCCACACCATGGCAATACAAGGGTTGAGAATTCCTTGCCTAAAAAAAACCTTATGCAATGTATGCAATCATGATAAGTCAACAGGCCACTTGAAGGCATAGTAAAGGTTTTCCCCTGACATTAAGTCCAGTCGTGTCTGACTCTGGGGTGTGGTGCTCATCTCCATTTCTAAACCAAAGAGCCGGTGTTGTCCGTAGACACCTCCAAGGTCATGTGGCCACCATGACTGAATGGAGTGCCGTTCCTTCCCATGGAGCGGTACCTATTAATCTACTCACATTTGCATGTTTTCAAACTGCTAGGTTGGCAGAAGCTGGGGCTGACAGCGGAAGTTCACGCTGCTCCCCGGATTCGAACCTGCGACCTTTCAGTCAACAAGCTCAGCACTTTAACCCACTGCACCACCGGGGGCTCCACGTGAAGGCATATATATATACTTGAAGGCATATAAACACACAATTACTAGTCAAACAAAGTATAACAATGTTCAAAATGAACATTATACTGATAATACACCTTTAAACATAATCTGTAACCCTACCTCCTTTTAAAGGTCCTGTTGAATTTCATCTTTTCCACTATCTGGGGAAAGGAGGAAAACGCAAAGGACCGCCTTAAAAGCCTTTCAGGCCATAATCCTATATTCACTTTCTGCACAAAGTATAGGGTGGTACTGTGAATGAAATCAATGAAAGCAACGTAATAAGTGGTCAAAGTAAATAATGACAGAAAACACAACATTTTAGTTTTTAAAAAACACATAGATACAGGGGATATGTTTCCAGGTGAAACATATTTCTGTCGGGAAACATATCTCCTGTGTCTGTGGGGAAATGTTTCCAGGAGGACTGCAGTTGTCTGAAAGTGTGAATACAATCAATCACCTATAAAATAACCTGACTTCTGGTCCCATCCTACTACGGAGTTGCTCTGGAGGATCTGAATCCTAGCAAGGTATTTGCCAGGTCCTCCATCATGACTGTTAGCTTTTTGGGAACCATACTATAGAACTGCTTGGCGGACCTAGCAAATTTTTAGAGACTGTTGTGCACAGAATACGTCCTGCAGACGTGGGTTTCACTGTTTTGAAGGTCTTACTGTACTGAGTGAATTCGAACCATGGCTTTATAAATTTAGATCCCCCCCCCCTTTTCTGCAGCAGCATATAAGGCACCTGGTGTAGTATTACTCAATTACGCAAGAAATAAGTTCACTGTGGCAGAAGTGAGCGGGATCTTAAAGGCAGGAAGGGATTGTCACTGGAAGTGGGGCACGTTTCCTCTTGTTCATTCTGCATTTGAGGCGGAAGGGGAGGACCTCCAGAATCCCCAGGTCCAGGAAGAGTGGCTGAGAAAACTGAGCTTTCCGTATTTCCAACTTCTGTAATGGGAAAATTCATTGAACAAAGTGAAGCAGCAGATACGAACGCAGCTGTATTATACTCTCCTTGAGGAAGGTAGGCCGTTTCTCGGTCTTTTCGGCTTTCAAACACATTTGAGTCATGCGACTGAGACCTGGAGAGATTGTTGGTTTGTTCATATACAGCAACCATGCAACTGCTACAGCTCAGTCCTGTAATAAACACAAATCAGATTATTTGTACCAAGTAGTATGCTTATAAAAGTCCTACAAGTTCAAGTCCAACCTATCTTCATGATCGTATCTCCCCTTATGAACCGGTGCAAGCTCTAAGATCTGTTCTCCTCTTGGTTCTGCCTCCATCTCAAGTGCAGTTGATGGGGATGAGAGAGAGGGCCTTTTTGGTGGTGGCCCCCTGGCTCTGGAACACTCTACCCAGGGAACTTAGGCAAGCCCCTACACTACAGCAGTTTTGGAAAGAGCTAAAAACTTGGCTCTTTCAGCAGACCTTTGATAATGTTTAAGATAGCAGCCGGACTACTATCTTTAGCCAGGGAAGGCTAAATTGATTGTATGAACTTTTGATCAATGGCCACTACAGCTGGTAAATCATCAGCAACAATAAGATCTATCAACTGAACTGAAAGGTTGCAAGTTTGAACCCCGGGTTGACGTGGGCACTGCCCACTGTATACTTAAGCAGTTCGAAAACAGCTTTAGCTGTAATTAGAGAAATCAGCTACCGCTAAAAAGCGGGTGCGATGTTTTACAATGCCATAAAGAAAAAGATAAGAAAATGCTGGAATGAGGAAGTCCTGTCAGCTCTTCGTCATAGAGGATGTAGCGACAGCATCCCCTGTGGCACGACACAAAAACCTCCTTCTGTTCTATCTGTGTACTGTGTACTGTCTATACAAGCGGCATTGAATGTTTGCCAAGTATGTGTACTGGTGATCTGCCCTGAGTCCCCATTCGGGATGAGAAGGGTGGAATATAAAGTGTTGTTGTTGTTGTTATTGTTATTATTATATAGTCTGGTTTTAAATGTGTTATTGCTTTTAATGTTGATATATTGTATTTTACATACTCTATGGCATTATTGTGTGATATCTGTAAGCCACCCCAAGTACCTATGGTAGATGGTGGTGGGCTATAAATAAAGATTATTATTATTATTATTACATGTCACAATATCATCTTGCGAGTCACTGGCTTTACCTTCCTTGTCCAATACACCCTACACATTGGGGCCTCTCTGTAAAAGAGAGCCTGTTCAACATGATTCTGCAGCCAACATGCGCCATGTTCCCTCTCTGCACTCATTAGCATGACAAAGTGCTTTTCTGGTGCTAATCCAAGAGTGGACCAGAGGCCGAAAGCAATGGGAGTATCCACATTGTACATGTGTTAGAGAGAGAAGGAATGCTTGCTTGCTTGTGTAAATGTGAATCCAAAGAAGCCACATGCCACCTAACAATTAACATGGCCATTGTTCATCCATCTCAGATTTATGGGATCATCAACAAGATCTGGTAATGAGTTCCACAGGAATTTTAAATGATAATATTATAATAATACAAATAAAATAAGACAAATAATTAATTTATCAAATGTTACCTTTGAGGCTTTTTAGTTTTTCATTTTTTGCTTTCAAAACAGCATCCGTTATCTTTTCTAGGAGGAAGTTCTGTGTCCCTTCACGCCTGATAGATCCTATCAAGGCATCAAGTCCTTTTGGATGCTCAGCTAAGTAATCCAACAGCTTGCCAGCCTTCTTCCGACTTGAGGGTCGACAGGAGATTTCTTCAGTGTCCTCTCTACTGAGTATCTTCCTTGAACGCAGATAATCAAAGTGTCTGTCTGCAATTATTTTGTCACAGAGGTAGTCTCGTAACCATTCTAAAACCTGGCGTAAAGAAAAGGCCGAATTAGTAACAGTTCAGTTTTCATATTTTGAATTAAATTGTGTGGTACTATAACTAGCAAGGAGTAGTGAACTAAACAATTTATACAACATGCAACATCCTGGAAATAGTGCACGGTGCATAAACAATGAGCTAAATTCTGGGTTCAAATCTCGGCTCATCTACAGATTCCTTGGACAGTGTGCCTCAGAATGCTCAATGAAAGATGTGAGCATTACAATCACCAAGGTGCTTTTGAGCACTCAGGAAATAATTAAGAATAAATACAGTTATATTTCTGTTAACAAATCGGGTGTTTCCGAGTGTTCCTTCTTTAATTGAAAATTTGGTACTCAAGGCAGAGAGAACATGGAAAGAATAAGGATAGGCTCCTATACCAAACCGGGGGGGGGGGGGGGGGAGAACAAGAACAATTCAGTGAGTTCCCACATTCAGGCTAACTATACGGATAGGTATAATGAAACAACTGAGTCAGGTAATCTCTTCAGAAGTAAACAATGGCATTTTGAACCTTCTAAAGACCAATTGAAAGTTTCTTCCACATTTTCATTCAAGGAAGGTATTTAAAATTTCACCAGCCATTTACTCACAATTTCCATTTTGTTAGCAATATTACAGATCTATATTATTTTAATACGCCCAGATTATCTGGTGATGTAGTTTATCTACTTTCACCAATTATCTCTGTTTTGTTGTTCACATATGCTCAGTGAGGGTGCATCTACATTATAGAATTAATGCAGTTTGACATATTAACTGCAATGGCTCCATGCTATCAAATCATGGGAGTTATAGTATTATATGGTATTTGAATGTCAAAGAATACCGGGGCCTTACCAAACTACAAATCCAATAGCATGGAGCCATGGCAGTTAAAGTGGTGCCAAACTGCATTAATTCTAAAGTGTAGGGCATCTAAGGAATTTTTGCTGTTTATTTTACTTCTTTTAAACAGGCACAATAGGCTATAATAAGGTTGATCAGAGGAAAAAAAGTACAGGTAGTCCCCAAGTTACAAACAAGATAGGTTCTGCAGGTTTGTTTTTAAGTTGAATTTGCATGTAAGTTGGAACAGGAACACTTTAATTTAATTTAATTGAACGCATCCATACAACTAATCTTTCCACCTGTACTCTAAACTAGCTAAGAATATATACTAGATGTTCCATTCACTATAGAGATGCCCACTTGCATTGTCACTGTTCAGAAAAGTGATGGGTGTCCTGTGGCCCTCCTGATCGCCTAAGTTCTCCCTCTGATTGTCCAATTTTAAGAAAAGACACAAGTACTGTCTGATATGGTCCACCAGCAGAAGAAATGGGACGAGGAGGACTCTGGACACTTTCCAGGTGCCTATTCCTAGTTCAGAACAATTCAGCTGGGCCATCATTTCATCTCATCCACTCTCACAGTTCATTATATTCCTGTCTTTCCTTCTATTTCAGAATCTCATGCTGAAAGGGCTGTTGTTTATGTGGAAAAAACTGCATCAGACTCAAAAAAAAGGGGGGGGACTTTACAAAGCTTGGAGAAGCTCAACGTTTGCAGAAGTATACAAATCTCTGTCTGCAAAAATCTAGACATTGGAGACAACCACAAGACAAGACCAATGAGACCTAACCATGCCCCAATGGGAAATGGAGGGCGGGGGGAGAACTGAAATGAGGAGGTATAGGTTTAAAAGCCTAATAATTCCCCCTTCTACATGACCCCTTCATTTTTTTCCTAAACTTACTGATCTCCTAACCAGACTGGCTGCTGCTGTCACAACCTGTGGCTTGGAGACTGAGCCACAGTCCACAGTTCTGAACAACCAGAGGAGATGAGAGATTTAGGCAAAGTTCTCCATTTTCTGGGAACAAGCAATTAGAATGAGATAGTGATCAAGCCAGGTGTTTTGTTGAAGCCTCCCGGCCATATGGCCATGTTCCAGAAGCATTCTCTCCTAACGTTTCACCCACATCTATGGCAGACATCCTCAGAGGTTGTGAGGTCTGTTGAAAACTAGACAAGTGAACACCTCCCAACAAGGAATCCCCCCAGGCAGCAACCAGCCAAGCTTTGAAGCTGCAAGGCCATTCAATGCTAATCAAGGTGACCAATTGCAACATTCACACATGCCTCAAGCAGACAAGAATTCTTTCTGTAGGCAGAAGATGGGCTAAGGTCAGAAGCTCACCCTGACCCGGGCTTTGAAATGTCCATCTTTTGGTTGGCAAGATTTATTGCAGCTTGGTGATTAGCATGTTGCACTAAAGCCCGGCCCATTTGTGTTCATTTCACAGAAAGATGGGAAAGGACTAATAATATGGACTAACAGAAGGGAAAAAAGCATATGGCTGATTTCCCTTTAGAATGCATTCCACTTGCATACTTTAATTTTAAATGTTATTATAGATTACAAATGTTAAGACTATTAGGTATTCACAGGAAACATGCCTTGTCTCATGTTACAGTGTATGCTCAGGAAGTGAAGTTTTGTCTCTTTTGTAGCAATTCTATACTTTTGTGCATTTTCTTGCTTAATTCAGCTATTCCCTGGAGTAAATACATAGAAGCTAAAAAAAAGCATGATCAAGCTACTAAAGCACCCTTGTTGTATGACCATTATATGACAAAGAAACAGAAAATATAAAATAGGTAAGATACTTATGCAAACGATAATAGAGGCTGGTAAACCATCCCTTTAAACATCCATTCAACCAAAGACATACTAAACAACTTGTGATATAATTTCTTTTTTCATCATAATCCTCGATAAAGGTTATGGCTTGCTAGTGATTACGTGTCCTTAGTATTTGCTTGACATGCTCACTATTGTCTCATTGGCAAATAAACAACTTGTTCAAGCAAGTTTAGAGTGAGGCTACAGGTATGCAACATATCTTTGGTATTGCCAGGAACCCAATGACCCTCAGTGCTAAAAATTCAAAGTACCTGCTTCAAAGTCAGGAAACATAGCAATGTAAACTTGACGTGTATACCAAGGGAATCTAAACAAGCCAATTTAAATATGGCAGAGTTTGAACCATACAAAATCATTTTCAGTCACTAGGTGGCAAACACTACTAACCAGTGCCTAGCTTTGTCATCAATAACACTTGATTCCAGGAGACATTTTTATTAAGTGGGCTAAATTCTAGTTATGAGGAACTCCCTGGGTCTCTAAGGGTGAATCATGCCATTTACAAGCCAGGGGATCCCGTCAGTACAAGCTTTTCTCAGATGAACTGAAAACATGTGCATTAATAACTGTAAATCTTGGTTTGAAGCCTTTCATGTATCGAAATAAAATAATTTCTAACCCATGTGAAGTTGGGCAAAAAAAAGGCCCCATAAATTAATTGACTTTCTTCAATTACCATTCAAAATGAGTTCTAGTCATTTTAAGATTTGATAAACCAGAAGAATTCAATAAAAATCTATTGGATTACAACAGCCAAAGGATCAAGAATTACAGCCATACACTATCAATCTTAATGAACAGAAATGTCTTGTGATTTTTCTACAACTTTTCCAAGTCTGTCTGATGAGCTTCTCTTTGGAAAATATTTTATAAGTGCAGCATCACAGCAAAAAGGATTTTCAATGAAGTCACTGTTACCTTATGTGTTGAAGGAAAAATTGCATAGAACAAGCCTTCACTAGAAGAATGCAAGGAGGTATTCTCCAGAAGGAGACCCAGCACGGTGTAGAGAGAGGTTTCAGCACTGGACTATGGCTCTGGATACTAGGGTTCAAATTCTCTCTCTGTTATGGAAACCCATAGGTTGACCATTGACAAGTCACATTCTCTTAGCCCAGTGGTTCTCAACCTGTGGATCCCCAGATGTTTTGGCCTTCAACTTCCAGAAATCATAACAGCTGGTAAACTGGCTGGGATTTCTGGGAATTATAAACCAAAACATTTGAGGACCCACAGGTTGAGAACCACTGTCTTAGGCTAATAGAGTAAACCTCCCCTGAACAAATCTTGCAACAAAAAAACACCACATAGTAAGTTCACCTTAAGGTTGACATATGTCAGAAACAACTTGAAGGTGCACAACAGTTCTCCAAACAGTACACTGAACTTGAGTAAACAAATCACTTTGAAATAATTTTAAGCTCTTCCCTTCACATAAAACTATAATATTCCAAAATGAAGTTGTTGTATATATGTATCTTTCTCACTATATACACGCACACATATACATATACACATACGTGATGCAATTGATATGTGGTTGTGTTCCTGTGTGGAGAGCTGCTTTGGATGCATCTGTGTGGAAAAGCATCACACAAATTAATTGCAATAATTATAGAAAAAAGCCTGTGTTTGTGTGCAAAGCTACACTGCTCAATCGCTCCAAGATCGTGAAACTTACACATTTAAAATGGATTAAAGTTAAACTAATTTGGTTGTTTTGCTATCTGTGCCCCTGTTCAGAAGATTTCATTTCACTTTCTGCTCCTGTGATAATTGGATTTTGAAAAAAAAATGGCTTTGTGTGGAAACAAGGATTGGTGAGAAAGCTGCAGTGGAGACCCCTTCTCCCCATAATTTTTCATGAGTGAATTTCCCTTCCTATGAGCAGATTTCTCTCACTTTCTGTTGTCTCACCCTTGTTCTTAAGTCTGATGTTGGTAATTTGAGGTCTGCCTGTACTTATATTAGCTTTTAAGTGATAATAAGACCACTCCATTTACTGAGCCATAAAGAGATAGTCTGAATATCATCACATCATTGAATGTAGGAAATTTCTCAGAAAAGTTGTAGCATTAACTTTATTACCCTTCAACCATTGGAGTTTAGAACAGGAAAAAACAAACCTGGACAAAGTGCAAGAAGGAAAGAGTTACCTCCGTTGACTCATGCGTGTATCAAGATCGGCTACAAAAGAGGGAAATTCCTCTAAACACTCCAGGAGAGACTCCTACATAAAAAAATTTGCAAACTGGGGCAGAACGCATGCCATTTGATTGACCTTCCTTCCTCTTTTGTGCTGTTCTACATCACTAGCAAACCTCACGCCAAGGATTTTCCTTGATTCTGAATGGTTTCCCTTCCTTGTCTGTGATTTCCAGAGGCTATTGTTGCTAGGTGTGGTGACTGTGGCCTCATCTACACTGCCATATAATCCAGTTTCTGCATCCAGATTATCTGATTTGAACTGAATCATATGGCAGTGTAGATTCTGGGCCCTTCCACACAGCCCTATACCACAAAATATTAAGGCGGAAAATCCCACAATATCTGCTTTGAAATGGATTATCTGAGTCCACACTCAGATAATGTGGAATTTCCTGCCTTGATATTCTGGGATATAGGGCTGTGTGGAAGGGCTCTTAGCTTGTGTACACTGTTAAGGGAGCTAAGCGTAGGCAGCAATCCAGACATGGCTTTTGAGTTTTACTACCACTTGGTTTACCAAATAGCAACCTCATTCTCCAAATGACTATGTTGCTCTCCAACTCTAGAGACTAACTGTTGTCAATGCTAGTGGCTAAAATGAAAATTCAATGCTATTTTGCTGAAAACAATCAGTGAAGTGGCCAATGGGAGAGGTTTCCTGCTCACAGTCCCCTCCCTCCACCCATTATGTTCACTTCCAGTACAGTGAGCTCTTTTTATCTGCTGCAGTTTGAGGATTCAAGCCCCACTATATATAACATGCATAATAAAATGGTGTCCCTTATATAGATTGACAACATCTATATGAAAGTCCCTAATTTGTGGTGGAGGCTCCTTCTTTGGAGGCTTTTAAGCAAAGGCTGGTGGGATTTGTGACATACAAATGCTTGTATGTCACTGTTGATTGTTTATTGTCTATTTTTTATGTATTTATATGAATTGTATTGTTTTATTGATATATTGTGGGCTTGGCCTCATGTAAGCCGCACTGAGTCCCTTGGGGAGATGGTAGCGGGGTACAAATAAAGTTGTTGTTGTTATTATTATTATTATTATTATTTATTATTATTATTATTATTATTTGTCAGGGGTGCTTTGAATGCGATTTTCCTTCTTGGCAGGAGGTTGGACTGGATGGCCCATGAGGTCTATTCCAACTCTATGATTTATTTTAATTGCTTTGTATTGTGGTTGTTTTGCTTGTATTGATGTATTGTGGGCTCGGCCTCATGTAAGCCACACTGAGTCCCTTGGGGAGATGGTAGCGGGGTACAAATAAAGTTGTTTATTATTATTATTCTATGATATAGATTGACAAATACTTTTGAACTGTGGGTGATGTAATTAATGGGTGCAGAATATGTGGATACAAAAGTCCAATTGTAGAAGCCTGCTTATATATATATTTATTTACATACTCTATTTTTGTCCCACCTTTCTCTCAATACAGGGTCTCCAGGCGACTAACAACAAATATTTAAATACATTTGAAACTACATGCTGTCTGTATTGTTTGAGTCCCCTTCTACGCTGACATATAAAATCCAGATGATTCGCTCTGAACTGGATTACATGGCAGCGTAGACTCAGATAATCCAGAGCAAAGCAAATTTTGTGGATTACCTGCTTTGGTAATGTTTACTATATGGCAGTGTGAGAAGGGGCATCCTATAATCCAGTTCAAAGTAGAGAATGTGGATTATATGATAGTGGAAAAGGGGGCTGAGTCTACACTGCGATATAATTCAGTTTAAATCTCGATTTCATATGGCAGTGTTGAAGGGGCCAATGCCTTGTCACCTAGCCCCCGTCTACACTGCCATATAAAATCCATATTGTCTGCGTTGAACCGGATTATATGTCAGTGTGGATTCATATAATCCAGTTCAAAGCAGATAATGTGGATTACATGGCAGTGGAGAAGGGCGCCGAGTCTACACTGCAATATAATCCGGTTTAAAGCAGATAATCCGGATTTTATATGGCAGTGGAGAAGGGGCCAATGCCTTGTCACCAAGCCTTCTTCGCTGCCATATAAAATCCAGGTGATCTGCGTTGAACGGCCTTATATGACAGTGGAGGTTCCTATAACCCCGTTCAAAGCAGATAATCCGGACTGTATGGCAGTGTAGCTCCAGGCCTAGTTTCCCTCGTTTGCCCACTTACTTCCTTCTTCACCTCCGCCATCTCGTCGTCGGTGAGAGGCCTCTCCGGCAGCGCCCCCGCGGAGCCCGCCATGGCGGAGAACGCCCAGCGCGCCTTCGAGGGCCAAGCCAGCCGGGAAAGGCCAGGACCGGAAGCAGCCAGGGAGCCTGAGAGAGGAGCACCCAAGGCCGGGCCGAAGCCGGACTCTCCCGGAGAGCCACCAGGACTTCCGGCGCCGTGCCTCGCGAGGCCACACCTCCTGTGCTTCCGCGCCACGCCCCCTCCCGGCAACAGCGGCGCCCAACCTTGGTTCCGCCAGGTTTTTGACTTCAACTCCCAGAAGCCTCAGTGAGCGCGACTGAGTGCCGGGAATTCTGGGAGCTGAAGTCCAAAGCTCATGGGGCTCTACTCCTAAGGAAGAGATGCTCGCTTGCCCTGGCCAGGTTGCAGCCAAATAACGCTAAACATTGATTTGAAATATGTATTTATCTCAAGATCTTTTCAGCAGAGATAACTCGGTGAGAATGGAGACTTAGGGCCCTTCTACACACCCATATAACCTAGAATATCAAGGCTCTTCCACACATCTGAAGAAAATCTCACAATATTTATTTTTATTTTTATTTCATCTACTTATACCCCGCCCTTCTCACCCCGGGGGGGGGGGGGGGGGGGGACTCAGGGCGGCTTACAAAGGAGGCACAATTAGATGCCCAAATCACACAACAAACAATACAAAATATAACAGTTCAACAATTAAAATGAAACATCAATACCTATTAAAATCATAAAAACTATCTCATGTCAGAGTCCATATATCAGAGTCCATATATCCATTCCATTCCATTGTCCTTGTCTATCGATAGGTCCTTTAATCAGTTGTCAGCATGGCCAAAAGCTTGGTCCCACATCCAGGTCTTTAGTTTTTTCCTAAACGCTAGAAGGGAAGTCGTCGATCTGATCTCCCCGGGGAGTGAGTTCCACAGGTGGGGGGCCACCACTGAGAAGGCCCTGCTCCTCGTCCCCGCCAGTCACTTGTGCCACTGGCGGGGTCGAGAGCAGGGCCTCCCCAGAAGATCTTAAACTTCGAGGTGGGACGTAGAGGGAGATCCGTTCGGACAGATACACTGGGCCGGAACCGTATAGGGTTTTGTAGGTCAAAACCAGCACTTTGAATTGTGCTCGGAATTGGATCGGCAGCCAGTGGAGCTGACGCAACAGGGGGGTGGTATGCTCCCTGTACGCCGCTCCGGTGAGCAATCTGGCTGCTTCTCGCTGGACTACTTGAAGTTTCCGAGCAGTCTTCAAAGGCAACCCCACGTAGAGTGCGTTGCAGTAATCCAACCGGGATGTGACAAGAGCGTGGACCACCGTGGCCAGATCCGACTTCCCAAGGTACGGGCGCAGCTGGCGCACAAGTTTTAATTGTGCGAAAGCTCTCCCGGCCACCGCTGAGACCTGGGGCTCCAGGCTCAGCGATGAGTCCAGGATCACTCCCAAGCTGCGAACCTGTGTCTTCAGGGGGAGTGTAACCCCGTCTAACACAGGCTGTAACCCTATACCCTGTTCGGCCTTCCGACTGACCAGTAGGACCTCTGTCTTGTCTGGATTCAATTTCAATTTGTTAGCTCTCATCCAGTCCGATACAGCAGCTAAACACCGGTTCAAGGTCTGGACAGCCTCCTTGGTGACAGGTGAGAAGGAGTGACAGATTTGGACGTCATCTGCATAGAGATAGCATCTTAGTCCGAAACTCCGAATGATCTCTCCCAGCGGCTTCATGTAGATGTTAAATAACATCGGGGACAAGATAGAACCCTGTGGGACTCCACACAACAACGGTTGTGGGGCCGAACAGGTGTCACCCAGTAACACCTTCTGGGTCCGTCCCTCAAGGAAGGATCGAAGCCACCGCAGAGCAGTGCCTCCGAGCCCCATATCCATGAGGCGGCCCAGAAGGATACCGTGATCGACGGTATCGAAGGCCGCTGAGAGGTCCAGCAGAACTAACAGGGACACACTCCCCTGTCTAGCTCCCTGCGTAGATCATCTACCAAGGCGACCAAGGCTGTCTCAGTTCCATGTCCCGGCCTAAAGCCAGACTGTGCCGGGTCTAGATAATCAGTGTCTACCAGAAACCCCTGGAGTTGTGTTGCCACCACACGTTCCATGACTTGCCCAAATAGGGGAGATTGGAAACTGGCCGATAGTTGTCGAATTGAGTGGGATCCAGTGATGGTTTCTTCAACAGCGGTTTTATAATAGCTTGTTTTAAGCTCGCTGGAAATTTTCCTTCCTGTAAGGAGGCATTAACCATCACCTTCACCCACTCTGCCAAACCCCCTCTGGCTTCCTTGATCAGCCAGGATGGGCAGGGGTCTAGGATGCATGTGGTGGGTCGCACCTCTCCAAGGATCCTGTCCACATCCTCAAGCTGAACCAATTGAAACGAATCCAACAAAACTGGACAAGCAGATGCTCTCGTTACATCCCCAGAGACTGCCGTTAACATGACGCCAAAACCCGACCGGATCCGCTCAATTTTATCCGCGAAGGATCGAGCAAATGCTTCACAGCGAGCCACCGAGTTGTCCGAGGCCTCGCTTTTTGGCGGATTTAACAGGCCCCTGACAACTCGGAAAAGCTCCGCTGGACGATTCTTCGCTGATGCAATATTGGCTGTGATGAATGTTTTCTGAGCTGCCGCTATTGCCACACCGTAGGACCTTAAAAAGGCATTCAGGTGTGTTTGGGCTGGATTGGTGGGATTCTGGCGCCACACGCACTCTAACCTCTTCTTTCGCTTCATCGCTGCCAGCTCCTCGGTAAACCAAGAGGCTGGTTTAGCTCGGTTACTCGAGAGGGGGCGTTCCGGAGCGATAGTGTCAATTGCCCTGGTCAACTCATTATTCCAACGAGAGACCAGAGCATCGACAGTATCACTAGCCAAGGAGGTGGAAAGATCCCCAAGAGCCGTCAGGAGTCCATTTGGATCCATAAGTCTCCTGGGGCGGACCATTCTAATGGGTCCACCACCCCCAATATCTGCTTTGAACTGGGTTACCTGAGGCCCCTTCCACGCAGCTGTATAAAATCCACATTGAACTGGATTATATGGCTGTGTGGACTCAGATAATCCAGTTCAAAGCAGATAGTGTGGATTATTTGCCTTGATATTCTGGGTTATATGGCTGTGTGGAAGGGCCCTGAGTCCCCACTGCCATATATTCCACTTGAAAGCAGACAGTGTGGGATTTTATTCAGCTGTGTGGAAGGGCCCTAATTCTGGAGTGAGTTGATTCCTCATTCAAGCTATTTATATATCCCTAGGCTTAAAAGCTAGAGAACAGAACAAATTGTAACTTTTTCACTTAGACCCCTTCTACACTGCCACGTAATCCAAATTATCAAAGATTATATGAGGGCTCTTCCACACAGCCATATAACCCAGAATATCAAGGCAGACACTCCACAATATCTGCTTTGAACTGGGTTATCTGGGTCCACACTGCCATATAATCCAGTTCAAAGCAGATAATGTGGGATTTATGCAGCTGTGTGGAAGGGGCCTGAGTCTACACTGCCTTATAATCCAATTCAAAGCAAGCATTCTGGATGATATGGCAGTGTAGAAGGGGCCTTACTATTATTTTCCTAACCTAAATACCCAAAAGGCATGAAAATGTTTCTGATTATACTATGTCATTCGATTTTGATTCCTGGGTTACAAATGTCATTTCCTAATTGGTTTTATCATTAAAAACACGAGAAAAGTTTGTTAAACTGCTAAAAATCTGTTTTTGCAAGACATCCTACAGCACATTTTGCTATAGTTTTTCAATGAATAGCTCATAGAGTCAACATAATTTGTGGCAGCCACAAAAACGAAGTTTCTGGAGTATAACAACTATTTTCAAAGAAAAGATCAAATAATTAAATGGGAAATAACACTTTCAAATCAAGAACAGATTTTTTTTTTCAAATTTTGTTACATCATGCAATGGAAGCTAAGCAAGATTAGCTCTGGTTTGTTCTTGGATGGGAGGCTGCCAACAAAAGAACAGATACGTAAGCTATAATTCAGAGGGAGGAACTGCACAAACCACCTCTAAGGGCCCTTCCACCCAGCCCTATATCCCAGAATATCAAGGCAGGAAATCCCACATTATCTGTGGACTCAGATAACCCAGTTCAAAGCAGACATTGTGGGATTTTTTGCCTTGATGTCCTGGGATATAGGGTTGTGTGGAAGGGCCCTAGAAAGGTCACTAATGACTTTTCTCAGATCAAACAAGACCATGTGTCTTTTCAGTAATATGAAGTGAGTTCAATATTTTTTCAAATTATATCTCATGATTTTTGCATCTGCTTTGTTCTTGTCCTTGTAGATGGCATGTTTTAACCTTATCCTTTTACCTTGACAGCCTCCTAAGGAGTTCAAAGCCTGGACTACCAGTGTCGTGCCTCACCCTGAGAGTTATAGCGTCAGAGAAACCAAGCCGCCTCCGGAGCTGGATATGGCGATCAAATGGTCCAATATATATGAAGATAATGGTGACAAGGCTCCCAGAAACGCAAACAAGGTCAACTTCTTACCTGAAGATGAAGAGGAGGAACCTAAGGCCACCTATAAGAAAGGAGAAGAACAGTAATGATTTGGTTTGGCTTCCAGTATATTGTGGGATTTTCTGCCTTGATATTCTGGGATATAGAGCTGTGTGAAAGGGCCCTGAGCCTTTCTTACCTAAGAAAATCCTATGTAGTTCAAGAGATCACCATAAATCAACAGGGAACCTGACACGCTATTAGTTCGGTGAGCTGGAAATCTTGGAAACATCCAGCTTTTAAAAGAAATATTCCTGGGAAAATTCCAAAAAACTGGTATGATTAAATTCTTGTGACTCATCCTATGTTCCAGGGCCATTTTTCTTCCTCTTCCTTCCTGAATGAGAAGAGGGAAGCACAGATGGTCCTTTACAGCACTTAAGATGTTTAGATTACATTTCTTTTCAAAAAGCTTTGAGCATGCCCACGCAGATCTCACAGCATCCAGAGCCAACAGTGATCAAAGACACAGAAGAGATCTGAATGATCAGTGGCTGTAATTGTCTATACAGGGACATGGGATCTGAATTAGCATTGCTCAAACTACCAATCATGTCATACAACTTCCTTCATACAGGGACTGGAATCTCCAAGTGGATGATGCAAAGCAGGCACATCAAGTGAAATGAAACAGTAATA